GAATTACTGACTCTGTGCAGTCGAGAAACTGGCACTACTATATTGTGTTTGTTCCTAGTGTTTACAGAATGTACATCACTTTTTTTACTAAAACTATCTTTGTTTTTGTGAACATACATTAAATTTTCGTAAATATACTGAGAGGCCAAAGTTAATATATTTATTTCTTTAAATATATCTCAAATAGACTCTCGGTTTTAGATTGTAAATAGCTCTAATGGCCCTCTTCTGTAAAACAAAAATAGTTTCGGAATCAGCTGCATTTCCCCATAGCAAAATCCCTTAAGACATTATGCTATGGAAATAAACTAATCTAGCTGTCTAGACACTAGTGAGACCTCTAATCTTTTTTACAGCATAGGCTGCAGAACTTAGTTTGCTCGCTAATTGGATATATGGGGGCCCCACTGAAGCTTTGCGTCGAGAGTGATGCCAAGAAAAACAGTGGATACAACAGGACTCAATTCCTCCCCATTTAAAAACATTGGTATTCTGATTTTTAACATTCGTTGTTGTAAAGGAGATGAATTTCGTTCCATATAAGCTTGGGCCCGGCGTAAACAAAGTTCAAATATATCTTATTTTGAAGATTTAAACATTTGTTACTTATGACAAAAAATCATATTTTTGTAGGCCCTGGGGTTTTGTTTTTATTTCGTTTTGTTATTTGTAGGTTATGTAGTAAAATCACTCGTTTTTGGGATAAGTTGTTTCAATAAATTGAAAAGAACACAAAAGGATGCCGTAATTTAGTTATTATTAAATAAAATACAACTCAAACTTTTCTAATTGTTTAATTATTTTATGCAATTATTAATAAAATGTCATCTAGAAAAGCAGCCTGAGTCAGTACATTGTTTGATCTATTCCTCTCAAAACCCAAGTAACACATTATTTTCATTATGTGGGCGCAACAACCTACTGTCCTTACAGGACAGTAGGTTGTTGCGCGCGAGAGAAAAGCCAAGGGTCAAGTTAAATTAATTCACGAAAGTAAAAACACGAAACATATCCACAAATACAACCACAACGCCAAATCGCATGACAAGTTTAACTCAAATGTTACATAGTTTTAAAAAAAGTTAGTTTATATTATTAGTTTTTTTAAAGCTACCAAGTCTCCTTCGAAACAGGCAATGATCAACGACCATAGAGCTTATTCAATCGTGTCTGATATTATTCAAATATTTTGTTTAGTTAAATAACATAGCCTATTCAATTGATTTTCTAAATAGATTTCTTTTATTCAGTATTAATCTCTACAGAATCGCCTCAATGTTTCAATATTATGAGTTTTTTTGATAATGAAGGCTATTTATTTATTACAAAAAATAGCCTTCATTATCTAATACCATAGAAAGAATACATAAAAATATTTAAAAACGTTTTCTTTTTGCTATGGTAAAAGCATTAGCTTTCGTTTTTCAGTTTAAAAAAATATTTTTATGATTGTCCCATACACTACAGAAATAAAAACCATTTAATTATGCTTATAATTTATCGTTATATTACCTACATATCTTTGTATAACTGTTACGAACGATGTCAACAACCCAATTTCATACATCTTTAACACAATTAGTTTTATTTCCGTTCAAATGCAGATTATTAACGTTAAACCAATGCACTAATTTTGATATAGCATAATTCACTTCGTTACATTTAAATGACTGACATTTAAGTTTAAAAATCAAGGAAGTATCATCAGCAAATAATACTATATCATGACTATACCCTACAAGGTGAGGTAAGTGATTAATATATACCAGAAACTGGAATGGGCCGAAAGTTGAGCCCTGAGGGACACCCATTAGTTCAGGTGACCTTCTGCTTTCTATTACTTAAATATGAAATAATAAGTTTAAGCGCTGTGTTCTTGACACCATAGTACTGTAGCTTCCTGATTAATGTCTCATGGTGAACACAGTCGAAGGCCTTGGAAAGGTCACAAAATATACCCAAAGCATCCTCTGAATTCTCCCATGTACAAAAAATATGTTTAATAAGCTCAACTCCAGCGTCAGTTGTCGAGCGACCTCTTGTAAAACCGAATTGATTTTTATGTAGCAATTTATTAATATTAAAGAAACTTAATATCTGATCTAAAATATTTTTTTCAAAAATTTTACTAAATGTTGGTAGTACAGAAATTGGTTTAAAATTGGCGGGGTCTAATTTACTACCAGATTTAAATATAGGCTTCGCACTCTGGTTCTGTACTCGGATAGCCATCGTAGCCCTACTGTACAAGCACTTCAACATTTCGATATACTGACAGTCAACTTGGCACCGCTGAAGGGACTGCAGCACAGCCCAAATTTCGACAGAATCAAAGGCTTTCTAACAGTCCACGTACGCCAGACATAGTGGCAAATTGTACTCCTCAGACTTCTGTACAATTTGCTGAAGGATATGTATGTGGTCAATGGTGCTAAAGCCTTTTCGGAAACCGGCTTGTTCGGGAGGCTGGAAGTCATGAAATCTGCACGCGAGACAATTCGTAATGACTCGAAAACAGCACGTAAACGCGGCTCAGAAGGGAAATCGGTCTGTAGTTCTTCAAGAGAGCGTTGTCGCCTTTCTTGAAGATCAAGACCACCGCACTTCTGCTCCACGCCTCCGGTGTAATGCCACCATGGAGAACGGAATTAAAGAGCTTCTGAAGGACTTCAGGTACCGGTTTTCCACCCGCTTTCAGAAGCTCCGCTGTAATTTTATCCTCGCCTGGGGCCTTGCCGTTTTTAAGGTGCCGGAGAGCCATTCTAATCTCACTCAGACTGACGTCCGGGATATCATCGGAATAATGTCGGATAAGACTCGCTCTTGGATCGTTACTCACACTTGCGTGTGGCTCCAACGATGATGTGTATAGCCTATAGAACCTCTCAATCTCACTCAAAATCACAGGTGTCCCGGAAATGACGCTGCCACACTCGGTCTTCAGTTTCGACAGTTGGCTCTTTCTGGCAGATAGATCTCTAGTAAAGACTTTGGAGTCCTGGTTCCGCTCGATCGCTTCTTCAATATGAGCAGTATTAAAGTTGCGTAAGTCCCTCCGCATGCATTAGGAGATCTGTCTGTTCAGTTGCCTGTATGCTGTCAAATCTACTGAAGACTGCAGCTTCATATCCCGTCTAACAGCCATGAGATTAAGAGTGTGATCGGAGAGTTTTTGTGTTCTTCTGCGGCGGGTCTTGCAGAACTTAGCTCCGACCGCATGGACAGTTTCCACGAGCTTGTCATTCATATCGTCCACTGCATTGCAATCTTCTAGGCACTGAAAACGGTTTCGTAGCTCGAGCTGAAAGGTTTCGAGACTTTGGCTTAGAGCACGAGGGGGACGGAGCGTTGACTTCATTAGACGTCACCTTTCCAATTTAACGTTTAGGTTCAGTGTGCCTCTCACCATTCGGTCATCGCAGCCGGTTTTCACCCTCGCGATCACTGAGACATCACTGAACAGTTGTCGTCTGGTCGTCATAATGAAGTCAATCTCATTTTTTGTCGAACCGTCGGGGCTCGACCAAGTCCACTTCCTGTGGAGCCGCTTGTGGAAGAAAGATCTATCATCATAAAGAGTCCCTCTTTCTCCGTGAAGTCGGCCAGCTGCTGGCCCCTTGGTTCCGTTGCCCTATTCCAAATTTCCCTACTTTCAGCTCACCGTTCTCTCTTGTGCCTAGTTTTGCATTGAAGTCTCCCATTAACACCGTATAGTGGGTTTTGGAGGAATGCATGGCTCTAGAGATATCCTCATACATTTCCTCCACCTCCTCATCGGGATGTGCCGAGGTTGGTGCGTAAACCTGTATGACCTTCAGCGAATACCGTTTGGTGATTCTGATTATAAGGTACGAAACCCTCGTCGACACACTCCCAATCTTTACAACGTTGTTTACGAGGACGTGTTGTGGACGATAAATCCAACACCTTCTTGGGACAGATGGTCGCCCTCCCTGTGATAGAACAAGTTGCCGGATTCGAGGATTACCGTGTCCTCCCCCTCTCTTCAGACCTCGGATAATTCTTTGATATTCCAGCGCAACTTGTCTATCTCTTCTTCCAGCTCCAGGATCTTCTCGTCAGTCCTCAGGGTGCGTTATAAGTTGCCAGGTCGAGTCATCGTAGGTGGCAAGCGAACCTCCACCGGAGATTCTTAGCACCCCCTGCCCCGCCGTTACCAATGGTCGTCACCGTAGCCAGGAATAGCGGGGCCGCCGGGGACTCGGGGCCGTCTCTTCATTACTTTCATGGGGGGTATTTGCCATAGTTGCCACACTTGGCGAGCGGGTTGGCAACCGCAGTTTTTTTGTTTTTTTTTGCTGTTATCAGAAAGATGCTGCTGCCCATCCTCTGCCTCAGTTTCCCTCTGTCGCTTCTTACGACACCCACGGGAAGATATGAGGTAGTGAGTATTCTTTCCCGCCACTACACGGGGCTATATCTTTATATATATATAAAGATAATGATGTATATATATATATATATATATATATATATATATATATATATATATATATATATATATATATATATATATATATATAAAGAAAGTGTGCAGGCTAGTAGTAAACTTTAAGCTCATTCTTGTTAAAAAAGTACCATACTGAGAGTGATTAAATATGCTGATTGCTTGATATGCGCATTGAGACTAGCTGTTGTGTTGAAATTCAGTCTGAATGAAATTATTTCATAACCAGAATAGAACTTTATCCTTTTTTGTTTTATTACTATAGTAAATTAATCAGTACTTTTATAGTGCAGTCTTAGTTAGTTAATATGCCTCCACGGTGTAGGGGACGTCCCCAGTGTGTGTTAATATTTATTATTATTAAAGAAAGAATTTGATTTCAGTATTGTTACTTAATTTTCTTTTATGAGCCATTTAAATTCTGCGAAAATTATGTGTTCCAGTTAAAAAAATACATGATTTCAGTATTTCCACTTCTTTGAACCGACTACATTATTAAATATTATAAATGTAAATTTTTATATCTTTTCAGAATGATAACCCACAGCAAAATACATTTAATGATGGCAGCTATCAGTGGACAGGTAACCAGCAACAACTGGATCCTGTACAAAATCGACCTGTGTCTTGGTCTGATGGGCATGGCAATCAGCAGTGGATACCAAACCAACAAGCTGCACCATTGCAGATGCAGCCTCACAGTAACTTTGGTTATGTGCAACCAGCTAGTAGTGTTCAACAACCATACTTTAATCAGGTAAGGGTATCATCGATCCTTTATGTTTTTCTTATACATTTTCCTGTTTATGCTATTAAATTCTCTTAAATTTAGTTAATTAGGATAGTTAGGAAAACTTAGCCATCTTTAATAATGATGAAACATTAAATTAAAAAAGTAGTTCAGTAGTTTTAATAAGTAAAGTAGCTTAATACATGTGACCCAACCCATGTTTGTTAATGGTAGAGCCATATTATGCAGCATATAATATGTGGTAGAGCCATGCTGCAGCAATATTAGTGTTACGGCCTACGGCTGCTCCCTTAAAGGATCCAATCCTCTGGGGCCCATGAGCAGAAGACTTCCCGAGCAGACGTAGGTCGGGCCTCAATGTGGCCACGTGGAAATTCCTAATTACAATAAACCAGATAGGAGGACGCTAGAAAGACATAGTACTTACCATTATCCGAAGCTAACTTCGCACCAAGGCTTGGGCAGGCCGTGAGTGTGTGTAATAGTGGATGGCGAGTAGTGTACAGTGAGGTGTGAATGTGTGGGGCCTTGTCAAGCATAGGCGACCAGCCGCGGCCGAGTTCCAATCTGCTCCAAAATGCTGCACCGCTTCAGACTGCTTCGGCGCCGGACCACAGTCACTTTCAGCGTTCTTCACGATGACAGTCAATTAACTCTATCGTACGATTTACTAACTTACAGAAGCCACTAACTATCGCGGGTTATAAGGTTAACGCACAAAACGCACACGGAGTTTACAGTTTATTAAAGGTCACTACCGTTTCGCGTCGCAACAGTTAGTTCTAGAATATCAGAGGCCGCACTAACTAATATTGCCTAATGCACTTATGCAGATTCTGAGTCAAACACAATGAGTCCCTGGGAAGCTCTCCAGCAGGAATGCGCGTCACAATGATAGACCGTATATTTACTGGCCACGCCGAATTATTCCGAGTTCCCTAACAGAATACAGCGTGCCAATCGTTAGCACCGCTTAAGGACGACTGACTTTTCGCTCGCGAACCGCCCGCTCTTGCCACGCTCGGCCGAGCTTCAAACCAGTTCGCACCGAGCCGAGTGCCCTCTGGCGTCGATTCTTGACATTAGCGTTTGGCGCGAACAATTAGTAATATAGTTCTTGCACGAATAGGTCGGCTCGACCGGGGAAGGACCACGTTCTCACAGAAGACCAGCGTAAAATAGCAGCTTAACGCTGCTGTGTTTCGTATAAAATGTGACGTGATGAGTGTAGAGAACCGGAGACCCTTTTTACTGGAAACATCTTAGTCCTCACGGGTGACGACGCATCTGCATTTTGATTCGTCATTGAAGATAGATGTAGATATCTATGGGCCGCAGCAACCATTTACCATCAGGTGGACTGTGTGCTCGTTTGTCACCCTAATCCTAATACATGGATGGCAGAGACTATGGACTTCCATTTTCCACAATTTTGACACCAATCTCTTCCTGCTTTTGCATCCATATTTCACTAATTTGGCTGACAAACTATCAGGGCATCTCTTGCCGACTCTTCCACTTTCACTTTAACTTGTCGCTCTTTCTTTATTCATTCTTTCTATGTGTCCTAACCATCGAAGCATTTTTAATTCTGGTCGTAAGATCTATTTACAAACCACACTTTTCTCTTATCACACAATTTCTTAACCTGTCATTCAGAGTCGCACCTAACTAATGATTGCATCTATTTTAATCTCATGCTTAACATTCATGCTGCAGCCAACTTTTACTACCATACATTAAGATTGTGATGAACACTGTATTGTGCCTCTTTTTTTTGACACATTCTGTGCTTTTTTTATTTAGCAAGGAGCACACTCACAAAATAAAGTATTTGGACAACAAGAAACGTTTCCACAGGTCAGAGGTATGCTACAACAAGTCTATGGCTCTCCAAAAGATCAGAGCACAAGAAATATAACTTCAAATTTGGTTACGGTTAGTACCAAGATTTTAAAGTTAATGTTGATTTCGTACCTGGCATTTGTTATAATATAGTATTACTTAGGCTGTGGGCACGTAAATAGCAACGGTCGAGCGATGCACGGGCGGTGGCGGGGCGATGGCGACAGGATATAATTATTTTGATTTCACCTCTTACTCGAGTATATAGGGTTGAATTTTTATTTATAATTTTAATAATGGAACTTGATAACTATTTCCAACGATAACTGATTCCAAATTGCATCTAATTTTCTCTAAATTATAATCAAATGTGTCTATAGTTACTCATTCTCGTAGTTTTAAAATTTCTTTGACTTTGACACTTTAATTCATAATAAATGGTAGAAAATTCGCCCAAACTACTTCTCCCTTAATTTATTGAATGAACACCAACTCTAGCTAATAACAATTCCGATCTCATTAGGATACTAGGCTCCAATAGTTCTCTTCGACTTAAACTCATGTTAATCACAACACCACTCTAGCGCGACTGACCGAGCGCTGGTTTGTGCCTACACGAGATACCGCTGTCAAATCGCTCCGCGCCACGCTGCCCCGCTACCGCCAGCTTGCACGACCGTCGCTAATTTCGTGCAAGCAGCCTTACACACTCAATATACTAATACTCTTTCACCATGACTTGAGATCCATATGGAATCAGTAGCACCCAACCATTTTCTCTATTGCCGGGTGCTACCATCGGCTTGGGATCCTATAATTAATATAATTAACTCCTAACCCAAGCGCATACAAGCCTACAACTGCAAGACTTCAAGATACTATAAGTTCGTATTGCATAGATTGGAACAGAAATTAATAGTTTTTATCTGGAGGTAGCCGTGGTTAAGTATGATATTGGAACGTCAAACACCTCAATCTCCCCACCCTCTCCTCGTGACGCCTACGAATAATAGTTCCGGGTCCTGGATGTTTGTCCTTCTGTTATTTATGTATGTAAACTGTAGAGAAAAAAGAGCTTACACCTTTCTAAAAGGCCGGCAACGCATCTGCAATTCCCCTGGTGTTGCGGTTGTTCATGGCCGGCGGTAGTCACTTATCAGGTTAGCCCCATGCTCGTTTGCCCCTTCTTCTATAAAAAAAATCCACGTTACAGGATAAAATCCAAATACGGGGTTAATGTTATTTTTTTTAAAAAATTGGCGTTTTTGTGACAGATATATTATGGAGGTAATAGGAATTAAAAGTAAAACCCTATAAGGTTTTGTTGAAAGAAGATAATTAGTATGAAATAAATTATTTTTAGGGGAAGAGCAAAACATCTTTTTTTCACATTTGGAAGGCATGTAGATATTTTTGAGTATATCGAGTAGTGTTAATAATTTATCTTCGAAATCAACTATTTAATATCCTTTGTACATTTCACACCCTATTATTGTTACCAGCCATAAGGCTTAGAGCCGTTTTTCTTATAAGGTATAAGGATATAGCCTAGATCAACTAAAGAAATCATTTGATTATCGAAAGGAAAGCTTATTGCTTTATCAAAGTAATTTGGAATCATTCATGATAAACATGGGGATAACAACAATACAACCACATCTAGATATGTGAAATTTGTGCTATTGCACAAATGCTAGCTATGTTTGACCTATTAATAAAAGAGTAAACTCTCTTTTTTAAGGTCCAGCTACAGAAAGCGGAACCGTTTCCAAAACACAGCCCATCGCATTTCGATAAATCTGGGCAACATGAAAAACGGCAAGGTTTTCATGATTGGAGGGGGCGAAGATTTTCACCACAGCGTGATCAAATGACCCCGGCGGTTGGTCGCACAGTTTCACCTGGGCGTAGAGTTACACCACCAGGACACAGTATTTTACCTCCTGGGCGCACAATTTCTCCTCCGCGTCAAATTTCACCTACTGGATCCAAAATGTCATCATCTGGGCGTAGAATTTCCCCACAGTGGCGCAAAATTTCACCATCTGGTTGTAGAATTTCACCACCTGGACGAAAAACTTCACCATTCGGTCGGAGAACGTCACCATTTGGTCGGAGAATGTCACCATCTGGTCGAAGAATGTCTCCATCAGGTCGTAGAATGTCGCCATACGGTCGGAGAATGTCACCATCCGGTCGGAGGATGTCACCATCTGGCCGCAGAATATCGCCTCATGAAAGAAGAATTTCACCACCAGTAAGAAAGATGTCGCCTTCAGAGAGAAGAATCGCTTCATCTGGGCGAAAAATTCCTCAAGGTATTTTATAAATATTTATTTAAGTACTATGCTATACATCATGTTCTTTCTACCAATAAATACACCTACACTCCTAGATGGCCTTTCCAACAGGTCTTCAATCGAGTTCTGAATCAATAGAATTTTTTTTAAATCAAAGTAATTCAGACTTCTCAAATAAGAATTATTAGGAATTAAGTCTTCAGTTATCCGCCGCTAGATGGCGGTCATAGTAGCAAGCGGTGAAAATGCTTTTTTTTTTGATAAGTTGTAATAAAAATATTTAAGAAGTGAACTTTTAATGGTCTGATAGTGCTTGATCGTAACACGATCTTGTTACTCGATTCAAATTTGTTCGAGAGTAGTAGCTTTTTTTGTCAGATTCTAAACAAGTTCTAACTGAAACCGTAATTAAATCCGAAATCAATTTTAGGAATCCGCCTGGGTATGTTTTTTACCGCAAACCCCTACTGTATTTTTTTGTTTTGGTAGAATTGCTGTACACTAAAATGCAATTTTTATGGATTTATCAACATCACACAGTTGTTGATATTCAAATTGACAGGTTCGATTATAAACATTTTCTTTTGCAAATTTCCCCCAAAGTTCAATTCTTTAATTTTAAAGGACATTTGTGTGTATGTATTGTATTTTGATTAACCTTTTCTTCATGTTGTTCAAGATATAAAAACAATATCGACCACAAATCTGTCATTTGGTGAGAGTGCGACAGACATAGTATTCATTAAATTTGATTCGAGTTTTTTTTTTTAATATAGACAATGCTGTGAAAAATATAAAATCTCTAGTCTAGTTGTCTAGATGTAAATAGTCACCAAATTGAAAGTGGATGTTGTGGACACCCATAAATATAAATTATGAGAAAGATGCATTTATGTTTATACAAATTTTATTTTATTAAATAAATCGACCGGTTTTCTCGGGGCATCTTCATAGCAAAAACAGCAACATATTTTAACATTGTTTTTGATAATAACATTTTATTTATTTGCTCTAAAACTTCAAAAAATAACGTAATATTAACGACAAGTTTTTTTTTAATTTGATGTGACTAACGAACTTACTGTCCATCTGAAGGTGTGTGTGAAGTGGATATTGCAGCTCATGGACACCTTCCACCAACTTCAAAAAAAGATAAAGGGTAAAATTAAAAATTTTGTACCACCGACTGCAATATAAACTATTAAGGATAACTCAAAAACTACTGATCAGACCTTGATCAAATTTATATGTAACCACATGAGAAGCCCTTGCCACTGGCCGGCCCCGCTACCCAGCGTGACTGGCCCAATACCGATCGTCCGACCGTGCGGATCGCCGACCTTTTGTCGCTAAGCACCGGACCTACGACGCCGCGTCCTCCGCACATTTCGCGATGTCTACCCGTGGCCCCTCCGGTCTTCTCGGATGCCAAATCAGGCTCCGACATGGAGACCGAGACGCGTGTCCCGTCCAAGCCCGAAGACGAAGGCTTCACCCTCGTTCATGGCAAAAAACGCAAACGTGCAGCCCGACTCGTCCCCCACCACCACTCCGACAAAAAAGCCAGCCAAAATTTTCGTAGAAATTCTCCACTCGCTAGTTAACAGCAAAAGCAAACTGTCCTTATGACACAAGCACCATCTTTACAAAGCATGCGTAATACCTATCATATCTTACGCAAGCGTAGTTTTCGCACTCGCGACCCACAGAAACGTCTTTCAAGTCGTCCAAAATAGATTCATTCGAAAAGCCACCGGAGTCCGTTAGTACCGATACAACTTAGTGACCTTCAAGAAAAGAGCCTACTCCTTTTTAAAAGGCCGGCAACGCATCTGCAATTCCCCTGGAGTTGCAGTTGTTCATGGTCGGCGGTAGTCACTTACCATCAGCATGCAGCGATGGTAGCCGCATGCACGTTTGCCCCCCTCTCCCATAAAAAAAAAACCAGCGAAACTCCGATCTTCACAGAGATTGCCAACTCCCAACGATCTCAGAATATTTCAAGGAAATTTCTCAGCACTACCTTGAGAGTGCCGAAACGCATCCCAACCCGTTAGTGGTAAACGCAGTCACCTACGTTCCGACTTCAAACGTCATGGCCTCCCTCCGGAGGCCTCGTAACGTTTTAATTGAAAACCCGGTTCCGCTACTCCTACGATCCAAATGTCGCCGGGCCATCACACACCAACACTATACATTCACCTAGTGTCACAAGCAAGAGTTAGGATAACGCAGACGGGCGCGCCGCACACCCCTCCACAAAGCGCACACCGTACACCCGCGTCACTGGGCGGTTCTCACAGCCCAGAACATCAAACGATATACGAGTTAGCCGTCAGAACCAGGCGCTGCCGTCCTTGTACGGACGGCGATTAGATAACCCATCCATGTCATGTTATGTGATCACAAAACACAACACTATCCACCCCAAGATTATCGTTGCGAAATCAACGTTGCACTAAAATCAATAATCTCCCCTATTTTATAGACCGCGGCCTTTCAGGCCACGAGACCTGTATCCACTTAAGCTGTAAGAGCCGTGGAGGAAACTAGATTAGACTCTGTCAAACTTGACAGGTTGTGGATCCTAGCAACTGACGTCTTCCAGCTTTGATGCTGCTCCCCGCAGCTCTATGTTTTAGTTGTGGTTGAAGTGACATGTATTTACCTCTTCGGAAGATCTATAGAGCGATTGTGTAACGCTAGCGAGATAGGTTTGCCTGTAAGACTGCACAACTGCGATACATGGGTAGGACCACGCCCTCACGGAATAGTAGCGTAAAGTAGCAGCTTAATACTGCTGTGTTTAGAATGGTGAGTGTAGTGAACTGGACATCCATTTTACTAGAAACGAGACATTTTGCCTAAGTCCTCAGGGGTGACAACGCATCTGCATTTAGATTTTTAATTGAGGTTAAATGTAGATGTCTATGGGCCCACAGTATCCGCTTACCATCAGGTGGACTGTTTACTCAATGTCACCGTTATTATATGAAAAAAAAACATAAAAATAAAACCTACCACAATCCTCACCTAAAATAAATAATTCGAAATTATTTGTATTTTTTTAATTATATTTTTACATTATCAGGGGAAAGACATGGGGGACATCGGTTGTCACCAAGAAGAATGTCACCGACCAAGCAACCAATTACTAGAAAAATGTCACCCGGTAGACGTTCACCTAATCGTGGACATTCACCAAGAGGATATGATAGGTGAGTAAAAGTAAAAGCTTACATATGTACTGCTGGCACAGACTTCCTCTCATTTCTGAGAAGGTTTCAGAGCAGAAAGAGGTCGCCGCACCGCCCCAATCCATTTTGGCGTAAGTACGGAAGTGCATCCGAAGGAGTAATGTTTTTCAAAATTTGTGCACCTTATCTACCGTCTTCATAAAGGAGGTACTCAATTCGACTGTATGTTTTTTATGTGTGTTTCCTCATTACTTTGTTCTACGTGAACCGATTTGGATGATTCTTTTGTTATTTGAAAGCTGGTGCTTCTCATGTGGGCCCATATACATTTGATCAAGGTCTGACCAATAGTTTTTGAGTTATCCTTAATAATTTATATTGAAGTCGGTTTTACAAAGTTTTTACTTTTACCACTTGTAATTAATTTGTTTACAAATAATAATATGGAACTGTAAAAGAAAATTTAACGAAAAAAATGTGAAATCGACAGTATAACCCAACCTTTCCATTTCACATTCAAAGTATGCGATATACTATTTATGCGTTTTTTTATTTTTCCTTTTTTTTTATAGGATAGGGTGACAAACGAGCACACAGTCCACCTGATGGTAAGTGGTTGCTGTGGCCCATAGACATCTACATTTATCCTCGTTTGCGAATCAAAATATAGATGCGTTGTCACCCGTGAGGACTAGGATGGAATGCCTCATTTCCAGTAAAAAGGGCCTCCGGCCACCTGCACTCACCAAGCGAAACGCAGAGGTAAACCTCTACTTCACGCTGGTATTCTGTGAGGTCGTGGTACCACCCCGGTTCGAGCCGGCCCATCCATGCGACAGCAAAAGCTGCCGCCTGGCTCTACCACTGTTTCTATTGAAGAGAGTTTCAGGGTAGGGAAATGTCCGTCGCGCTGCCCTAAAGCCTGGCGGACTTCGCATGTCTTTCTCATGAATTGTGTATGGGTTTTCTCACGATGTTTTCCTGTTCCGCCGAGCACTTAAAATGCGATTAACAATTTCATTCTTTTTTTTATAGGATAAGGGTGACAAACAAGCACATAGTCCACCTGATGGTAAGTGGTTGCTATGGCCCATAGACATCTACATCTATCTTGTATTACGAATCAAAATGCAGATGCGTTGTCACCCGTGAGGACTAAGATGGAATGCCTCGTTTCCAGTAAAAAGGAACTTCTTATGTTTTTTTGTTGTTGTTGATGTTTTTTTTCATATAATAACGGTGACATTGAGTAAACAGTCCACCTGATGGTAAGCGGATGCTGTGGCCCATAGACATCTACATTTAACCTCAATTAAAAATCTAAATGCAGATGCGTTGTCAACCCTGAGGACTAAGGCAAAATGTCTCGTTTCTAGTAAAATGGATGTCCAGTTCACTACACTCACCATTCTAAACACTTATTAAGCTGCTACTTCGCTTCTCTACACTCACCATACGAAACACAGCAGCGTTAAGCTGCTATTTTAGTCTGGTATTCTGTGAGAACGTGGTCCTTCCCCAGTCGAGCCGACCCATTCATGCTATAACCATAATATAACTGCAGCATGGCTCTACCACATATAAAATCTAACCCTGGTTGTTCGGGTACTGAAATTTATAGCGAGCGCTTAGCCAATGAGCTGTCACAACTAACAAAAAGTGTTTTATGAAATAGTAAATTTTGTTCAGGTATTCGCCATCCGATATTGAGAAGCAAATGGGTAAAATACGCCCAGGACCTGACAAGAGCGTTCGGCCCGCCTACGAGCCTGTTGGTCAGGTACGTTATAGTGCTATTTCCTGTAGCTAAATCTCTTTAATTTCGAATCTTCTTAATAACATATACTAACGACTTTAAAATCTATTATTTCGGTTGCGTTTCGTTCTGCCTAACTGTAAAACTCCTACTTACCTAATAACTGTAAGTTTGTTTCTTTTGTTTAAAAAAAAAACTACACATTCAATTTGAATGAAAACTTAATCACGTTTTCATTATGCAGTTAAGCGTCGAATATCGTCGGTTTGGAAATGATTTCATCATTTCTTTTCGATATATACGAGAAATGTTCACTAATTTATGAACATACACAAACAGACATTTTTTAAAGACAGTGTTATTGGATTCCGTGGACTTCGAAATATTGAGATGTGTCAAAATTTGGATTCGGATATGTTGGATCCATTACAACAACTTTGAAATAGATAGTTGTTTAGTTACAAGGAAATATCTGCAATTATAACTTAATAAAAAAATTTCCAACATATAGTTTATGATTTTTTTTATAAATATCTATTTGGATTTTTTACAAAAGCTGAAGCTTCTCGAAACACTAAAATGGTAACCACAACAGTGAATTCCAAAATACTTCTATGAAGTATTTTTGCAATGAAAAAAATTTAATATTTCAAAGGAACAGATTGCATACATTTTCACATAGGTACATACGATTTATTTGTCAAATGAAGAAGATACTTTTGTTGGCAAATAATATATTAAGTAAGGTTGGTAGTTTGTAAGAAGGGAGTGCAAAAGGAAAAAAAGAGGTCATTACATATACAGATTTTGTTCTTCCCTTTCTGGTAGGTGGCGAGATGAGTTTCATTATGAATTCTTATTAGTCTGTAAATACAAAATTTACTACTAATTCGACCCGATTTGTTAACAGCGCAACAAAACAAATACATTTCATGAATGTTAGAGGTATATGGTATCAATTGGTCTACTTGTGCATGTTGTACACGTGTAATCTATAATGGAAAAGGATGCTAAGGAAGTTTTTAGTGCAGCTAGCAACATTTCAGTGTTTATCTTTAGAATTAAAGGAGATTGTGATAAGGGTTGCCACCCGTACTATAATATATAGTATCTTACTATATTTCAGACAATTGTTCTTTATATTATAGAAAAATAATATAATACGAGAATTAGGGGAAAAAATACTATATTTTTTCCCCTAATTCATGCAATTTTTTATATTAACTGTGACTGGAAGTCTGGAACAAGTAAGTTTTACTGAAAAAATTTTTCCATCATGAATGTTAAATCAAAAGAAGAAAGAAATAGATAATAAATGTAATTAAAAATGAATTGTTAATTTATTTTAATATGAATCTAAATTTCTCATATTCCTATAATTATTTTAAAGGTTGATGGCCAAAGCGAAGAGCATTAACAAATTTATATGGAAAAATGCATTAAGATTAAAAATGAATGTGTTCTTTTTTCCTGAATTTCCCAAGTGTTATATTTTTTTGGAAAATACTTTATTTATTCCAAAAAAAAGTGGCAACCCTAATTATGATTCTGATTAAAAAAAAAAACTTAAATTAACGTATTTCGAAAGCAGACCTTATCCATATCCTTCATACGCAGAACCAACAAGTGAGCTCTGACTTGACTTGATGGAAAAAAATCAACTAAACTCATAAATTATCAATAGTTAAATCTAAGCTAAAGTTAAAGCTAAATCTACCACAAAGAGGCTACGGACGTCAGGAAAAACGCAGGTATGGATTAGATGAAAAAATAAGATAGAGATTGAAATAAAAGTTCTCTAACACTCCTAATTTTTATTGTCAAAAACCATTTTAAAGAGAAAATAAACGAACGGTCTTCAGAGATTTTTTGCTAATCTAGAGAAAAGTAAACGTGACCAAAAATTACGGTTGGCCACGAGTCCGATCGACGGATACTACGCCGCAGTCAGTCGCTATTGTTATTGACAACTATTTCCTAATCTTGTTGTATTTTCTGCATAATCCTGTTTGCCTCGGACATCTAGATCTCGAAAATCCATGATTGAATAAAAGAGACTCGTTAGGTCTCACTTAAAAGTAATGCTTGACGAACAGATCTTATACCTAATGGAATAAACATAAACACTTATGCATGTCACCCAGAGGGTAGGCAGAGACTACGGCCTCCCATTTGGCACAATCCAGGGACACCTCTCTCGCCTCTTCCACATCCAAAAAATTATAACAAGACTTCATTATAATGTTTGCAATGGCATTTTTCTTAAATTGATTGCTATGTAATACAATGCCTTGCTAAAGTAAAGCAGAGGACACGTAGGTATTAGTGCAAACATTGAATGGGCGTCGTTAAGAAAGCCACCGGGACGACTTTTCTACGCGTAGTCGAATGTGTGTCGAGCCTAATTTTTGGCAAGACTCATTCAGTCTAGAAATGCAGATTACTAATACCCGCCATACGGAAGGAATGAAGAGAAACACAATTACAAGAGAGGACATCATTAGTGAAGTGGTAGTACCTATTTCTGACTAGAAAATGCACTTGCAATCGAAGGACGTCATTAGCGAAGCAACCGGGACTACACTAAGACGACGTTGCAGTAGAAGTTGTAAGCAAAGCAACCGGGAATTACAACGACGTGTCGTATGATTACTGACTCACGATCGGGCGAAGCACAGTCAAGCTAGAAAGACTTATGATTTTTATCCGTCGTGTAGAAGGAAAAAAAGGTTGGGCACGAGGAAATAGTAGTAATACAATGTACGAATCGTATTAAGGAAGCAATCAAGACAGAACTACAAATGGACATTTGTATAGGTCAGTGCGTAGGTGATGGTGATAGGTATAAGAAAGATATAAGTTCCATTCCTTAGCCATAAGGATACGACGAAGTATAAGCAACGAAATATATACATGGAGTTAATGAATCATATGAACTTATGCTGTATATTCCTAACGATCTATAGTAATATGTGCGTAAAAAAATGTTGCGGTGTTTTAAAATGACATATGAATTATTATTCGTTGCGCTTGCGACGTACGTGTATACAAATATGATGAAAAAGAAAAAAATTAATATATATAAGTTATGCTATAACTTACAGAAGAATATACAACTAACTTTATATAAATAAAAATTTAAAACAAATTTATGTTAAATTTTCTACTAACAAAAGCTGTTTGTGTCCGGTTGTTTGCTGTCACATAATGATGAATATTGCTAAGAGTATCTTGAAATAGCAAGTTTAAAATAAATTAGAAAGATAGGTGGATAGATAACTCTTTATTGCATTTAAATCCAAAGTTCTTACAATAACGGAAAACGTGTGGTGGAAAAAAATGGTGATCATATCGCTTTAGTACATGACAAATCGAAAGTAAAAAAAATTGTAATTTATAATTAATATAAGTGTATAATTACATGATATATTCAATATACGAGGGCGACACTGAATGTTTTTAGAACTGGCCACTTGTAAACGATATAATAAAAAAATAAGTTCAAATTTTGAAAATGGAACTCTTTGCCAATATTATTGTGTAGGTATGTATTACAGTGGCGAAGCTAGGGCTCCAAACTAGGGCAAGCCCAAGATATGGTTTTATTGTCTTTAGAAGTTTTATAAAAATACACCAATCTTGATCTGTCTCCCCTCTTCAGTTTCATATTCAGTGCTGTCGAGGACGTGTTCAACAAAGCACACAGAAGGCATACAACTGCTAGATAGACATATCAGCAATCGCATACCTTCGGTGTCTTTAAAAAAAGCCGTTTGGGTTTGTTAGAGCGAAAGAAAAAGATATTTACATACAATACAATAGATGAACAAAGTAAAAACAAACTATGTACAAAAAAAAAAACAAATTATTTATATTCTAAATCGAATCGTCTCTCTTTCTTAAGGAAAGATTGGATTACGTCTGCGTAAAATGTTGGTGAAAACATATGCATATATATTTCTCAACAAAGTTTAAAGATTTTACCTTTTCCTCGCAGATTTAACACACTTAAATTAATGACAAGGTACACTATTATCCTCCATTTTCACTAAAAATCTTAAAAAAAAAATAATATCAACTCGCAATATTCAATCGCTCAAGTAAACACAGAGTAAACATTGAATTGTGAAGTGAACTTGCAAAAGTATTGCCCATGCGCCCCTAACTTCAGACTAAAAGCCCGGCTTACGAGGGCGGCACTGAAAATTTCGGGAATCAAGTGACACAACAACAGAGTTCTGACGCACCAAGTAACGCGAGCCGCTTTTTGCTCTTTACAGAGCGAATGCGGTATCCATCGGGAAAACAACTTTTTTACACCTAATTGTTCATGCAAGATTATTTGTATTTGACTCATGCCAATGTCTAAAGTTGCCTGAATTTCGCGGTATGTCACATGTCGATCTTCCTCAATCAGCTTACGCACAGCATCAACGTTTTCTTGGGTGACTGCAGTTTTTGGGCGACCTTGACGGGGATCATCATTGAGCTTGACACGTCCACGTTGAAATTCAGCAAACCAGCGATAAATTGTGGTTTTGGATGGGGCTTCATCACCAAATGCAGAAATCATCCAGTCAGCACACTGTTTTTGTGTTAAACCACTTCGAAAGTCATAATAAATCATCGCTCTTGAATTTTCTGGAGTCAATTCCATTTTCTCAACGACTAAACAATTTTGACAAAACCTTGTGACAAGACCGAGAATCTTTTTTTAAATAAATAAATGGTATTCGATTTTAAAACCAAGGAGTTTTCAATTAAAAAGATTTTAATATGACAGGAACAGTGGAAATATTCCATTCCCGATACTTTTAGTGCAGCCTCTGTAATAGCTCCATACTAATTGCTATATAAACAATCGTAGTTATATTTAATTATAGAACATTTTGCCACAGTTTAGAAAGGGAGCGATCGTCTTCTCGAAAGCCCGGTAAAAAGCCCACGCGTGCGAGAGAGACGACTAATCGCTCAACTCAACTCCTTTTTTATAACAGCTGTATCGCGCAGTTTTGCCGCGATGATTAATGACCTGTGTAGAACAGAGGAGCGCGCGGAAAATTTGAAATAGTTTGAAAGAGTTTACGAGTTATTTTATTAGTTGATATTATTGATTGAGCAGTTTGATAGGGCAAGCCCGACTTGTCGGTTTCTATAGAGGCTTCGCTACCGATGTATTTTATTAATTTGTCATTTGTTTACGATTTGGCGGCAAATTGAAAATTGTTTGTGTCACGTCAGTATGAATTTAACGTGACAAAATTTTCGTACAATGATTTTTTATGACTTTCGATGTTATTTAAGTCAACAAGAAAGTTATGATAGACTTCGATTGGCCTTTCACGATGAAGTCCCATCTCGTGCCACTGTTTACAACTGGTTTAATGAGTTTAAACGTGGTCGCACTAATCTCACCGAAGATCTGCGTGATGAACGGCCTTTTACGGCGACGACTGAAGATAACATCAGTGTTGTGCGGCATATGATAGAGACTGACAAAAGAGTGACTCATCAGCAGATTTGGACAAGCTTTGGCATCGGTATAAGTCAAGTGCAAAAAACTCTGGATTAACATTTAGAGGTCAGGAAGCTTTGTGCCCAGTGGATACCTCATAATTTTACAGAAGCCCAAAAACTCCGTCGTGTTGATTGGTGTCGTGGTTCAAAGATTTAACGGAGGTGACTCAAATGCTGTGGTCGACATGCGGGTGATGAAAGCTGGATTTATTGTTATGATCCTGACACTAAGAGACAGTCTGCTGTCTGGGTGTTTCCTTCCGAGGAGTTGCCAACTAAAGTGAAGAGAGGTCGAAGATGGGGAAAAAAAATGATGGCCTGGTTTTTTGGGAGGACATGTCATTACGCAACAATTGTTTTACAGGATCGAAAAACAGTTATTGCAGAGTGGTACACTAACAATTGTTTGCCACTTGTCTGGGAAAAAGTTCGGGAGAAACGACCTCGCAGTAGGATCATCCTTCACCGCGACAACGCCTCGTTGCACACTGCTAAGCAAACAATCGAGTACTTGGCGACGTCAGACTTGGAATTACTGGGCCATCCGCCCTATAGCCCCGTCCTCGCACCTTGCGATTTTTATTTATATCCGAAAATAAAAAAAAAACTTCGTGGCAAACCTTTTATGGACACCGAGGAAGCAGTGGCTGCGTTTCAAAATGCCGTTGAAGAGACCCCTAAGGACGAGTGGGCAAAGTGCTTTTTACAGTGGTTCCATCGGATGCAGCGATGTTTTGATGTAAATTCACACATTTTGAAAAGATAAAATAAAACTAATAACTTGCTAGTTTGTTCAGTTTTTGATTTTCTATGAACTTTCGGTGTCACCCTCGTAACTGAAAAACAAACTAGAATTAATGGATTTAAGCCGTATTGAAAATTGAATTGATTGGAAAGTAAAAAAAAATTGGACCTGATTTTCAGGCGTATTGGAACATAAGATATTGACTTACTCCCTGTTTATTTTGCAGGATTTTTAGGTGTAATTCTAATAATATGATCACAAGTATATTTTTACATCCTCATTAGTCGAATGTATTATAATTATGTGTTAAAATGACATTATTCACCATTTAGAATCTTTGTGTCCGTCTGGCACGAGGTTTCGAGGTTAGTTAAAAATATTTTAAGTATAATGTTATTGGACCTATGACCATCTTTATCCTATTTTTTCTGTTTTCCAGGACTGTATATTAGTGATTGCAAGTAAATTTTTTATTTTCAGGCGCAAAGTCAACCCATGTACCCAGGTGCTTACCCTCCGAATGCCCGTGAAAACGTTCAATACCCTGTATCAGCCCCACGTCAAGGTGATCAACGGTCCACATGGCAAGACAGGGAGAGACCTTATACATCATCAGGGACAGCTGATGGTGATAGACGAGATGTTACTAGGGTGCAGAAATTTGACGGGCCAAGAGACTATCCAAGGGGTCTGATGGACCCGCCTGAAACAAAAACTAGTTCACCAAGTCGCATGTCACGTTCTCCAACTCGACGAGACCGCTCACCTATCAGGGATCGGTACAGAAGACATTCTCCTTCTCCTCGTTCTCCAAGTCGTTCCTGGGCTTTTGAAAAGCGACGCAGTTCTGAAAATCGTGAAGCACCCCCGCCACCATCTTGGCCGGTACAAGAACGACAAGATCCCCCATACGTAAAGCCAAGTCATCCAAATGAAAAAACAACAAATAATATACCAGTTTGGGATAAACCTTATGAAGCCAAAGTCAATCCACCATTCCTCCGCACAGAAGAACATCTTGTTCATGAATGCGAAGACAGAAGATACTTTACTAGTTCAAGTCGATCCCGTTGGGATATGCCGCCAACATCTACAGCTCCCGATTTAAAAGGGCCACCCAGGGAACAATCACCAAGGCAGTTTAGACACGGTGATCGGTATCTACAAAGCCAACGGGAACCAAACTTTTCTCCTCATGATGAATATAGGTCACAACATCAAAATGAATTTCAAAAGCAAGGGTTTCACGATCGTGATCACCATATAGACCGCTATGAGCCTAAAGACAAAATGAACATAATGGCTATTGACAACTTGAGTCACAAAACCGACATACTACACAGAAGAGATGATTACCGTCCACGGTTGGACGAAAGGAAAAGTGGTTTGCCGATCGGACAGGATCTTAACAGAGAAATAGAAGACGTATTCAAGAGAGCCGCAGAGCTCACAAAGAAAACCGAAGAATATCAAAGAAAAAGGAGTGAAAAAAGTTCTAAGGATCACGACCGTCATCCGAATGAGTCGCAAGATTCAAGGATCAGTGATCTTCATCGAGCGTCCAGTCCTTCTAGCCGCGACTTGTATGCACCTACAGAAACTTTATATGATAGAAACCTGGGACACTCTCGTGGGACTCGCAATTATGATCTAAGTGCCAAAATCCAGTATAAAAGAGATAAAGCAGTCGATGAAATAACGGGAAAAATGATGTATAAATTTGCTCCAGATATTAAAGGAAAGATTAGAGACGAAGTGGAAGAGCTTGTGAAGTCATCTATAGAGAATATGGTTTTTGAAATGTTTGGCGACAAAGATGTGTCATTTATAGAAATCGTCATTAAGTTCGAGGATAGATACAAAACCAAAGATTTGGAACAGATATTTGATAAAGCTCTATCAAGATTTCCTGCTGAAATCAGAAGGATGAAGCGATCTGCACCAGGTAAGGAGCTCTTTTTTGCGCTTAAGTGAAAAGGTGTTTGGTTAATTCTGTTTTCATCCCGTTAAACCTTTTCTAATCCCTCGTTTGAACTAAATTGATTCGTTCTTAATCAATTTCTCTATATTTTAATATAAAGAGAACACGGTCGAATCACGAAATATTCTTTAATAAATTAAGGTGTAATGAATAAGGCAATATTTATATTAGAAGACCGCTAAAAATAAAATAAAAATGACGTGGAGTATTATTAATTGCGAAACCGGTAAAGAAAAACCCCGTATACAAATTATCAATTGAAAATATTTCAAAACCCTTTATGTTAAAAATACCGCAGATTTATGGAGGATTTCCGTTACAGTTTTTGCGTCCATAATAGATTTAAATGCACCTCATATTGCTATTATTTTTAATATTAGTATCGAATCTGGTGTTTCCTGATTTAATGAAACAGTAAAATTAATACCTTTATTTAAATCTGGTAGTACATTGGACCCCGCTAATTTTAGACCTATTTCTCTAGTACCAACTCTCAGTAAAGTTTTAAAAAGATAATTTTAGATCAATTGTTAATTTTTTTTAATAAAAATAAATTACTCCATAAAAATCAATTTAGTTTCACAAGAGGTTGCTCGACGACTGAGGTGGCGCACTTATGAAATATATTTTTATGATTGGGAGAGTTCACAAGATGTCTTAGGTATTTTTTGTGATTCTAGGGGGAGGATTGTGATTTGTAACCTTCTACATATAATTGATGTGTAGAATGTCGATATAGCTTGTATCTACGTTACGGGATGTGGTAAATAAAACTGTGTCCGATTCCGTAGAGAGCGTTTATTGCACTGACAATACTTATGAATAAAATGTAATATATATAAATACCGTGTAGTGGCGGTCACGAATATCCACTACCCCATATCTTCCCGTGGGTGTCGTAAAAGGCGACAAAGGGAAACAGGCAGGAGATGGGCAGCAGCATCTTCCTGATAATAGCCAAAGTTACAATAAAAAAACGGTTGCCAACCCGCTCGCCAAGCGTGGCAACTATGGCAAATACCCCCCAATGATTAGAGCAACAAACAGACGGCCCCCAGTCCCCGGCGGCCCCGCTATTCCTGGCTACGGTGGCGACCATGGTAACGGCGGGGTAGGGGGTGCTAAGAATCTCCGGTGGAGGTTCGGTTAACACCTTAGACGACTCCACTTGGCAACGTACAACGCACGCACCCTGAGGACTGACGAGAAGATTTTAGAGCTGGAAGAAGAGATAGACAAGTTGCGCTGGCATATTATAGGATTATCCGAAGTCCGAAGAGAGGGGGAGGACACGGTAATCCTCAAATCCGGCAACTTGCTCTATAACCGGGAGGGCGACCATCTGTCCCAAGGAGGTGTCTGATTTATCGTCCACAAGTCTCTCGTTAACAACGTTGTAAAGATCGGGAGTGTGTCGACGAGCGTTGCGTACCTTATACTCAGAATCACCAAACGGTATTCGCTGAAGGTCATACAGGTTTACGCACCAACCTCGGCACACCCCGATGAGGAGGTGGAGGAAATGTATGGGGATATCTCTAGAGCCATTAATTCCTCCAAAACCCAATATACGGTGTTAATTCTTCTTCAATGCAAAACTAGGCACAAGAGAGAACGGTGAGCTGAAAGTAGGGAAATTTGGAATAGGGCAACGGAACCAAGGGGCCAGCAGCTGGCCGACTTCATGGAGAAAGAGGGACTCTTTATGATGATAGATCTTTCTTCCATAAGCTGCTCCACAGGAAGTGGACCTGGTCGAGCCCCGACGGTTCGACAAAATATGAGATTGTCTTCATTATGACGACCAGACGACAACTGTTCAGTGATGTCTCAGTGATCGTGAGGGAGAAAACTGGTAGCGATCACCGAATGGTTAGAGGCACACTGAACCTAAACGTTAAGATGGAGAGGTCTCGTCTAATGAACGCTCCGTCCCCCTCGTGCTCTGTTCCAAAGTCCCGAAACCTTTCAGCTCGAGTTACAAAACCGTTTTCAGTGCCTAGAAGACTGCAATGAAGTGGACGATATGAATGACAAGCTCGTGGAAACTGTCCATGCGGTCGGAGCTAAGTTCTGCAAGACCCGCCGCAGAAGAACACAAAAACTCTCCGATAACACTCTTAATCTCATGGCTGTTAGACGGGAGATGAAGCTACATTCTTCAACTGATTTGACAGCATACAGACAACTGAACAGAGAGATCTCCAAATGCATGCGGCGAGACTTACGCAACTTCAATACAGCTTGTATTGAAGAAGCGATCGAGCGAAACCAAGGCTCCAAAGTCTTTGCCAGAGATCTGTCTGCCAGAAAGAGCCAACTGTCAAAGCTGAAGACCGAGTGTGGCAGCATCGTTTCCGGGGCACCTGAGATTTTGAGTGAGATTGAGAGGTTCTATGGACAGCTGTACACGTCATCGTTGGAGCCACACGCAAGTGTGAGTAACGATCCAAGAGCGAGTCTTATCCGACACTATTCCGAAGATATCCCGGACGTCGATCTGAGCGAGATTAGAATGACTCTTCAGCATCTTAAAAACGGCAAGGCCCCAGGCGAGGATTGAATTAAAGCGAGTGGAAGACCGGTACTTGAAGTCCTTCAGAAGCTCTTTAATTCCGTCCTCCATGGTGGCACTACACCGGAGGCGTGGAGCAGAAGTGCGGTGGTCTTATTCTTCAAGAAAGGTGACAACGCTCTCTTGGAGAACTACAGACTGATTTCCCTTCTGAGCCGCGTCAATGTGCTGTTTTCAAGAGTCATTACGAATCGTGTCGCGCGCAGACTTGACGACTTCCAGCCTCTCGAACAAGCCGGTTTCCGAAAAGGCTAAGCACCATATACCACATACATACCCTTCGGCAAATTGTACAGTCCGCGGAGTACAATGTACCACTATGTCTGGCGTATGTGGACTATGAGAAAGCCTTTGATTCTGTCGAAATTTGGGCGGTGCTGCAGTCCCGTCCCTTCAGCGGTGCCAAGTTGACTGTCGGTAGCTACGATGGCTATCCGAGTACAGAACCAGAGTACGAAACCTATCCAATTGCAGAAAGGTGTAAGACAGGGTGACGTTATATCCCCGAAACTCTTCACCGCTGCATTGAAAGACGTTTTCAAGCTTCTGGACTGGAAAGGATACGGTATTAACATCAATGGCGAGTACATCGCTCACCTTCGATTTGCCGATGATATAGTCCTTATGGCAGAATCGCTGGAGGACCTAAGCACTATGCTCAATGACCTTAATAGTGTCTCGCAACGGATAGGTCTTAAGATGAACATGGACAAAACAAAGATTATGTTTAATGTCCATGTCACACCTATGCCGGTAGTTGTTGGGAGCACTAAGCTCGAAGTTGTTGACGAGTATGTTTACCTGGGACAAATAGTCCGACTAGGTAAGTCCAACTTCGACCGAGAGGTCAATCGACGGATTCAACTCGGCTGGGCAGCGTTCGGGAAAGTACGACACATCTTCTCGTCAGACTTACCTCAAAACCTTAAAACGAAATTGTACAACCAGTGCGTGTTGCCAGTGATGACTTACGGAACTGAGACGTGGTCCTTCACTGCTGACCGTATGAGGAAGCTTAAGGTCGCTCAGCGAGCTATGGAGAGGGCTATGCTCGGAGTTTCTCTGCGTGATAAACTTAGGAATGAGGATATCCGCAGTAGAACCAGAGTAACCGACATAGCTCAACGGATTAGTAAGTTGAAGTGGCAGTGGGCCGGCCATATAGCTCGAAGAACCGACAACCGATGGGGAAGAAAGGTTCTTGAGTGGCAGCCTCGTACCGGTAGGCGAAGTGTAGGGCGACGCCCCACGAGATGGAGTGACGACCTGGTAAGACATGCAGGAAATCGATGGATGCAGGTGGCTCAGGACCGTGCTTTGTGGCATTCCTTGGGGGAGGCCTATGTTCAACAGTGGACTTATGAAAGGCTGTAATGGTGATGATGATGATGATATATAAATACTTATGAATGAAATTGCACTGAACGTGCCGTGCGCGCAGGCGCAATATCAGAATATTTCCTAAACTATAGAAATACCATGTACTTGCTTTAACAGTGATCTTTTACAAAAATACCTAAGGAAATCAGGAAACTACAACATTATGGTGTAAAAAATATTGCGCTTAGACTTATTATTTCATATTTAAATAACAGAACTCAAAAAGTCGTTGTCAATGGTAATGGTAATGGTTCCTCCTGATCAGTAGTATCAATGGGCGTTCCTCGGGGCGCGATTCTTGGCCTTTTCTTGTTATAAGTCTATATTAATGACTTACCTTATCTTGTAGGGGACAATCACGATATAGTATTATTTGCTGATGATATCTCTTTAATTTTCAAACTCAAACAAAAGTCAATTAATTTTGACAATGTAAATAATGCTCTATCGAAATTAGTACATTGGTTTAACCCCAACAAATTGCTTTTAAACAGCAGTAAGACAATGTATTAAATTTACAATACCTAATGTTAAACATTCAAACACCAATGTGCTCTTCAATGGGAAAGAGTTGAGTCTTGTGGATGCCACTGTTTTTCTTGGTATTACTACTTACGCGAAGCTTCAATGAGGGCCCATATATCCAAATTAGCAAGCAGACTTAGTCAGGCCTCTATCATTCTTGCTACCTGCGTGAAATAATTACCTACAATCGCGAGGCGCCCCCGGCATACAACGCAGTCGGGGTTAGCACGTTCTAGGCGATTGAATGTTAAAGTATTTTAACGCTGTTTACGTAAATAGTTTTTTTGTAAGTACTTGTTGAAATACTCGTTGAAATAGTTTTTGTTTAGTTCTTAGTCATTTAATTGTAGGATAAAATATTTGAAAAAGTTTTAATGTGTGGTAATGATGAGTGAATCTAACACGTTATTCACTTACTCTGTGATAAGTTATAATTGTGCACTACACACATACGCAAACTGCATACTTGTGCAACGACTACGTG